AGCCCAGCAAAGTCCATTTTCAAGCGTGCTTTACCTAAAGCTGCGGAGGGGAAGAAAACAGGAGACGGCTGACCTGGCACTCTGTGGGGCACTGTGCAGCTGGGGGCTTTTGCAGCGAGTCTCGGCGCCGCTCTGGGGACACTGTGTTGGCTGGGACCAGCTCCGAGACCAGTTCTGGCTGGATAGCTGGAATGCACTTTGCTAGGGTAATTTTCAGCCCTTCCCACTCCTAAATGCCAGCTGACTCCAGGAAATCTCACGGCAAAGTAGTAAGACAGTCCTCTCTCTGGGTCAAGCTGCCAAGGAGGGTGCAGAAGGGGAGAGGGATCTGCCTTGCTATGCCATAGGAGAAGGGATGTTTACTTTGGGTTGGTTTTTGTCCTGCATTCTGAAAGGGTATGGTAGGATATCATGAACGACATCATGAACTTCCAAAATGCATTTGAAAAAGGCACATATACAATAAAGCATATATCTAATTATACAATACCATATATATAAATATACTTTTTCAAAATCCCCAGCTGCCCTAGACTGCAGGCCATTACTACCATCCATTTTTGTTTTTAAATGATACTAAGCCAAGCCAAGATGCAAATTTCTAGCTTCAAAGCCCATTTCATCACACTTTTCCTAAAATCCCACACTGAGTTCATGTGACTCAGGTATCAGTGCAGCCTTCTCCCTCCTCATTACATTATAATACACAGCGAGAGCTAAGGAAAGGAATATTATCTAGAGAAGGAACTGTATTACTGCGGCTCCTGTCCCTGGCTGAAATAAGCACCTTTCCCTAAATTATCTCCAAAGTTTCTTTCTGGAGGAAGGAGTGTTTGTTGCCTGGCTTCTTTCAATGGGGCTTTTTTTCCAAATATGAAAAAGCCAGCTCAGGATCTGGACAACAGTAATAATGTCCTATTAAAGGCCAGTTTTGAAGGGTTTGGTTTAATTCCTGGCTTCCTCTTCTGCCTGATAGCCCCAATTTAGGAATACCCTTGTAAACAGAAAGAAATTTGGAAACACTTAAAATCGAGAATTTCTTCACCTTTTACTAAACATACGTTAGTTCCACATGGCTATTTTGTGAGTTGTGTCCTCACATTGTAGAAACTACTACCATTAAAATCAAGCCAATTAACAAATTTGGATTCTTTCTCTCTAATACAGACCAATAGAAGTTAATGCCTAGGCACCTTTCACATCACATCATAGATGGAAGTACTTTTTAAGGAGAATAAAATTGTTTTAATCCCATAAGTTACTGAGTACAGAGCTGGCTTTACTGAAAAATGCTATATATTTTGATGTGCCCTCCTAACTGATTGCAATGAGAGGTGGCTGTAAAATTCATTGGCCATAACAGCAGATATATAGATAATGCCCTTTGCTCCAAGAATATGGATCATACCAAGAGCAGAATAAGCAGTCACACTTCTATTTCATTTAATAGGCTTGTAATACTCTAAATTGAGTCAGAATCTTGCCATTTTTGATGTAAAAAGAAGTGAAAGGGTTTACGGGCAGGGATGTGTGCAGAAATGGCTTTTTTCTTTTTTTAATGAAAATGGGGAATGCTCACAGAAAGCCAATTCTAAATTTGCAAGTGCAGGTTTTTAACTGGAAACCTGATTCCAAGAATTTCAAGACAGTCTAATAAAAATCAGCCAGGTTCGATTTCCAACACCAAATACTTAGAACAAATGGATCCACAGGCCAAGGATCGTGTACTGAAATTCCTAGTACACTGTGAATGACTAACGAACTCGACAAAACTCAAGAGCTTTTCTTAGAAATCTGCAGAGAGCAAGCAAGCAAAAAAAAAAAAAAAAAAAAAAAAAAAAATCTCTGAGGTCCCATTTTGCACGTTTCCGTGTAGGGGCAAACTGATTTATACAAAACCCTCCAATGATTTTCAGTAGGAAGTGAATACTAAAATAAACGCTAGTCCAAAACTTTGTTAAAAACTTGAACTAGAATTTAATCTTTCTCCTTTCCCTAGCTCTAGGATGAAAATCTTCAGGGAGTGTTCAGAAAAGGACATTGATAATAAAAATTAATGCAACCCCCCAGCTTCTTGCTCTACAAAAAATGCATTTTTTGGAAGATAGCTAAACCAGCATCTCCCCTCCACCTCCCCAGTTCTCTCTTTCTGTGATACCAGGGCATGGCAGTGCTCACATACAGATGTCGCATGCTATCATTGGAACAAGAAGTTGGGCTTGACTGAAGCCAGCTACAAAACCACCGAGCCTCCCTGTCTGATCTTTTAAACATCTGCAGAATATACACTACAGGAGGTATCAGTGAAAAAAAAGTGCACACTAACAAACTGCAGATATAATTGCAGCCAACTTATTTGTGGATACACAAGAGATTCTCTGCCTTTCCCATATTCTGGTGCTTTCCCAAAAACAGGCAGAATTTTTTAACACTTTTTCCCCAGTGCTAACTATTCCAAGAAACCATAGCCCATGTTCTTTCCACTGACCCCAGAGGGGAGAACAGAGTGTTGTCTCCCAGAGACTGAAAGGGATTGCCAGCAACCCTTTTCTCTGGCTCAGACACGTGTCTTCTGGAGGCCCATGCAAGCCTAGTGACCTTCAGGCCCAGCACCCTTCCCTTTGCACATCATTCTTAGAAGACCCTTGCTGCCTCAGCAGAAATCACAACCACTTTTTTTGGGGGGGCGACATGCTGTAAAAGCAACCCCCCTTTTCTGAATTTCCAAGCACATCCTGATGCAGAACATGGCCGGCTGCCTCCTAAGTCAACCTTCATAGCTGCAGAGAATCAGCCGTATGGAATAGAAGTGATGCCCTCCAGCATCTCCCCATTTTTCTCCTACACAAACTCCTTTGATTGCACCAAGCACAAGAAAATGAGAATGGTCTGGAGGATGGCACCGGTTCATTTGCCTGAGTTTCCTCTACATTAGGATGAAGAAAGAAGGAGGGGGAGGAGCCCAACGACATTAAGAACAATGTTGGGAATAGGTCTTTAAATCTGTCTCTCCAAAGCCCATATATTCCCAGCCTTGATAGCTCTCACATTACACAAGATGGCATTTCTCTCCATATTGTATTATAATTAATAGGCTACTGCAAGACTTTACCAGTTCCTACTTAATAGCATTTCAGTGCTGGGAAGCAGTCATCAGGTAATCTGGCCGTGATCTACTGTATCCTTTCTAAACACAGGTTCTAGCTGCCAAGAATGTCACCATAAAAAGATTTCAATCAATACCACTCAGCTCCTACTCTCAAATGCTCCAGGTCTAGGAAGAGAAAAAGAAAAAAAACCCAGTACCCTCAAAACGAACAGCAAACTGGCATATGCATCGAGTACGCAGATTGAAGTGTGCAGATGGGAATTCATTATGGCCTGATCTTGCTCTCTCTTTTATACTTTAGTAACTTTATACTTTGGAAAAGGTCTCACCAAGTGCATGGAGAATGCATGCACAGAGGGGGTTAAACCCATGCAGATTTTTCCTTTCTCAAGCTGTGCTCTTGTTGCCAAACAACAACATTTCAATTGTGATTGGTACAAACAGTTGGGTTTCAATGGCAATCTGTCACGTAGGTTTAAGCCCAGCTTTTACTGATGCAACCTGCAACTTGCTGGGTGGTTGCTGGCTTTGTTATTTATTGAGAGAGAAAGAAAGGAAACAAAACAGATTGGTGTTTTTTTTCTCTTGTCCAGTCTGTAGTTCAAAGACTTGCTCTGGAGTTTGTTTCTCCATTTGCATTCCCTAGAGTGAAATTAATAAATTAGGAATAAAAGTGAAATCTGCAAATCCAAATCAAAGCACAGCACCTGCATCTCCATGTATCACTTTCTGAAGAAGTAGGGAAGGTCATATGTGATCTGTTTGTTTGCAGGGCTTCTGTGCTCTCCAAGAGCCAAGGCTATCCAGGAAAATCTGCAAACACTTCCACCCCTAAATTAAAGGGGAACTGATGACTTAAAACCAAAAGGAAGTCACTGCTTCAGCAAATTAGCAAATAAGATGTCAACAAGACGAAAAACGGTCAAGGCTTGGATCCTGATGTAGCTGAAGTAGTTGGGGTAGTTCCATTAAATTCAATGGAGCTAAGAAGATTAATGGTGGCCGAGGACCTGGCCCCTAGCGTTTTCCCAGCTGCAAGTCTTAGTTTAGGCTGTTGCCAAGAGGTTAACACTGTGATAATAGAATGAGAAAGTATTTATATAGGTATATATAGATATATAATTATATTTAAAGAACACTTTTCTACCAGTACTTTTGTCATTTTAAAATCTGTAATTTTAAAACAAAATTATTTCAGAAGAGCAGCAGAACCTCTTGAGTAAACTACAGACTCTCTTACCCACTCCTAGGCCACTTACTGTCCTAGAAGCAAGTTTAAATGTTATTTCTAAATGCTATTTCTTAAAACATAGGGTGCAACTAAATAAGTAAGGCTCCCAAGGGTCTCTAAGAAGCCAGTGAGTCAACACATAGGCATGGAGTAACAGCAAATCAACAATTCTAAAAAAGGTGCTTCATAAGTTAAGGAAAATAAAAATACAAAGCCTCAGACTTACCACAGAAGGCCCTCAGACTTATGAAACTAAACTGCTGTAATGTGGTACAGTGTTAAGACATACTTTTTTTTTTTTTTTGTTTTACATTCTAGAGGGGTAATACACACTGAACCCAGAAAAACAGCTTACCCTAGAAGGTAATTTTGAAAGGAATATTGACTTTGATTCGTGCTCCTAAAACCCTAACAGTTTTGCTTTAAAAATAGTTGTTCGTTCTGCAGAATAAAGTTCCCCCTTTCTCCTCCAGCCACCGAAACCCCGCACCGTACCTACATGTTTGAAAAAGGCTCTCATCTGAAATGTTTCTACCTATTTGTCTGAAATTGTAAATGAGTGGCATCTCGTTGGGACTCTAAAGCACCTAAGCAGGGTTGAGCGATATCCCAAAACAGGACATGATGTACAGCTGATTGAGACAGAAACGGACTGCCTTTCAATTCCCACACAAAGTGAGGTGAGTCACTCATCAAAAAGTGACGGCAACAAACCCCTCTTTTATCCCTTCCCTTCCTTCTTTCCATTCTTAAGCTGGGCAGAGCAAATGAGGTTGGGTCCACAAAAAATAAGGTTAATAATAATAATTAAACAACAGCAACAACAACAACAGCAACAACAACAAAATAGGCGTCTCAATGTCTGAGGAAAAGTGGGATTGTAAGTGCAGTATTCTTCATGTGCAGTTCTACTTCATACGAGTCCCCTTTGGATGAGAAGGCCTAGTGGAATGTGTGCTCCCCTCGGACTATGTGCGATGAGAACTCATAGCGGTCCTGGCTTCGGTAGCCACAGATGTTGCACTCTAGCGGGTCCCGGTAGCCGTGGCAGCCCATGTGGATGGTGTACATGACATGGTCCAGGAAAAGGACACGACAGTGCTCGCACTTGAAAGCCCTAATCTGCTCCCCTTCTCCATTGATGACCTTGTAGATATCCTTTAAAGAGCCCTTAGAAGCTTTTGTGGCATCCAAAGCCTTGGCGTCCTCCTTCATATAAGCCGGGCTTGGCTTTCTCTTGGGATTTAAGGCAGAGTTTCCTTGGTAGGACTGGCGGTCTTCATGGCTGCTCTCTGAGTCAGTAGAATCCAGGCAGCTATTGCTGGGGGAGCCCTCTCTATCCTGGGTTCGACTCTTTGGTCTGATGAGGGAGATTGGGCCATCCATGTTGTTCTCGTGACTGTCAGCTGTTTCCCTGCTAATGGGCCTTTCTATCCTGTTAGGATGATAGACCTGAGCGTAAGCTGAGCTGATGACCGGGGCCACCTCTGCAATTGTGCTTGGTGTGTGCTGCATCAGAGGGTGAAGTGCCTCAGCTCCAAGGTAGGTGATTGCATTGTTGATGGCTTGGTCCATCATGTGAGACTGCATCAGCTCAGCCTCCTTCTCATAGGTTAGGTTCATTTCAAAGGGAATATCTGGATAGCCAAATCTCATGAGCTTTTCACCTAAGGGACAAGAGCAAATGAATGAGAAAAATCAATGTAATCACTCCAAGGTTTCACTGTAGAAGGGGTGGGGAGAGACAGAAAACCCCTGACTTGGGGTGAAATGCATTCCAGAATCCAAAGTTAGCCTCCTTCTACTTGTTTACTGACCTCCTACAAAGTTTTTGTCCTGAGATGGGTAAAACAGCAACCTCACCAACAGCTTTTTTTTTTTTTTTATTCCAGGTGAAACATGCGGCTGCGGCGACCTCCAGACTGATACCAAACCTTCCACTGGGCCTGACTGTGCCCACGCTTCAAGTTAGGAAATACATGTGAACTGGTAGAAAATGGGATTGAACCACCAAGGTCGATGAAGCTCTGCCAGTTTATACCATTAGACATACTCACCCAAAATTAAAAGAGGCAGTACCACATGTCCCCCACACTCTGAGGTGCCTTGTACATACCTTACTACAGGGCTGCATAGCAAGAAACATAAGCAACAGGTACAGAGGGCTGGTACAGTGTCACCTTCAGAGCCACAATATGTAAATCCTTCAACCAGCAGGAAAAATATAAAATAACTGAATGCAGTCACAGAATAGAGCAAGTACCAGCAGGCACTTGGGGCTGACCTACCATCTTGCATTCAGGCTATAATATCTTCTTAATTCACCCCCTCAAAAAAAAAAAAAAAATCCTACCCCAATGTTTTGGACCAAGAAAAAAAACGACACATGCACACCTCTCCTAGTATCTATCTAGGCAAGAAAACAAAGCATACAAACAGCATGTATAGCTTAGTTGCATTTGGTAAAAGGCAAAAGCAACTTTCATTGTCACAGGATAAATAAATATATAATAATGATGAAGCTGGCCGATTCATCACTATGTGAATCCAAATTCACATCCTTGTAACCTTTTTACATCAATGCCATTACAGATATGCGAAACCAGAAGCACACGCTGGTAAATTACGCTAGTCACAGGGCATGTTACGTATCACAGCTCTCCTCTGAAGTTAACAAATTTACCACTACTTACGTCAGGGTTCAGCTCAGCAGCACTGCTTTTCCAGTGATGGCTTTAGAGTGTCAGTACAAGGAAAGTTCATATAACAACTCTTCTTTTTAAATAGAAAAGGTTATATGTATAACTATATGTGTAAGATACAAGATACACATGCTCATATATGTTCATACACACAAATATTAGCTAGTTGTTGACTAGCTTTACTTTTTAAGATGATTTTACAAAGTCTGATAAATAATTTTCATTGGTTTTCATTGTCTTTGTTACTTTTGACCGCCTCGGTACATAAAACCAGACTTTTCTTCAACAGTGTAAGCTAATAAATTCAAGGAGTCACTACATACAACTGGTTTGGCTATCCAAGAATTAAAGAACTCAAGAATCTTCTTCCATCTTTTGCCAAAATTGCTTGGAACAAAATGTGTACAAACCACCATAAGAAAGAAACAGAACTGTAATCCCAAATCTCTTCCAAATAGCATTAGAACATTTCAACATAGCTATCACTCAGCATTTTATTTTTGACTATAATAATTCATTCCACTTAGCACGGCTTATCTTAAAGTGATGCATAAAAGGAGAAATAATTTTACATTACCCATGGAACAATCAGGTTATCCTTGGAGATGATGCATCACTTTTGGTTGGGAACTTAGCCCTGATTAGCAAGGTAATTACATGCAAGTCTAAAGTGAAGCACATGAATATTCCTACTCTATTCAGCAGTACGGCTCACATGCTTCTGATTAGACACCACGTTCGTGTACCTCACTACATTTCCTTATAGCTTACCGAAAGAAAGTATAAGGTAGAAAACTGTTCCTTTTTTATGCATTAGACATTTGGAGAAAAATAGGGAAGGAAGAAGCAAATGGTGCTATGACGATGGCCCTTCTAATCTAACATGACCTAAGGATGATTCTTGCCATCAAACATCCTCTTTTCAGTGTTTCTGCCATGGGCTGGCAGTCCTGCTGTGATGGCTGTCCTGCCGCTCATAGGGTGGACAACTCTGTAACAGGAGGTGGCTCCAGCCTCACTTGAAATTGAGCAGCTGCTTCCCACGTGGGGCCAAAGTGGGACTGGGGGACAGCTCCAGGAGGCACGTGGTGCCTTTGGCACGGTGGGAAGCAAGAAATGAAAATTGAAAAGTCCATTGGTCCCTGTCACCTACTCTGGCCACCTGATTCTGCTCTGGTTCCTGTGTTTGAATAAAGAACTGGATCTGGCGAGAGTCTGATCCAGCCTCCAAACACATTGTCAGTCCTTTGTAGGCTATATAGATCAAGAAATAATACCTGTCCTTTATGGACTACTTGGATGAATGATGCAAACCTTATTTTAATTCCTTTTATCTTCCACATTTAGTTACTCCACCACAGACAGCAGAGTAGAGAAAACTGTAAATTGCCAGTGACCTGAATTATTCATTCCTTTAATTATGAACTGGTTCCAAAGATGTCAGAGCCATAGAAATGGAGTGTGACATAAAAAAGTAAAATAAATGATAACATGAGGAGGAGAGGGAGTAAAACACAGGGCTCAGAAGAAACATTAGCAAACAGGTCCAACATGGTTTTCAATTTTAGTTCCTCTTTAGCTAAATCTGTACTTAAAACTAACTAATCGGATTCATCATTTTGAATTCTCATGCAAAATTATGCTCAAATTCTATTTATTCTTGCCTTACATTAGTAGAAGAAGAAACATTCTCCACTGTGGTCATCTTATCATATGACATTCAAAAAAACCTCAAAGCACACAGACACAGCTGTCCTGTGATACCTGTAGTCCATCTCATCAAGTATCTAAAGCAACTCCAATGCCGGACACTTGGGAGAAAGCTGCAAGAAATCTTGGAGAAAGCAGTTAGAGAATTTACCACTGGGTAAATTTCTTCCTGACCCCCACTAACTAGAAGTTGACTCTAATTTTGAAGCTGGTTGATCTTCATCTGTTCTGAGATGCCTGTGTATTTTTAATTCTTACTATAACAACTGTGGTCTTATCATAAGCCACATAAATGTCTCCTTTTGTATCCTGCCAGTTCTTAACCTCAGTGACACTCTGTGAGAGTGAGCACCACATTCAAACTGAAAACACGTGAATCTGCTTCATGTGATCAGCTTGAAGATGGTTGCTTTCAATTTCACTAGTGTCTGCTTCTTCCTTCATTGAAGGGGAGGCAAAAAGAAGTACTCAGACTCCAGTGCATTGTAAGTTATGCTTTCTGCCTCCACTATTTCAACAGTTTTGGTAAGACTAGCACCTCAATAGCAGATATATAACCAAGGCTCTCACTCAGAAATTAACTCTGTTTGCTGTATGCTGCTTCCCTTCCTCCCGAAATTTCAGCCAGGATAGAGACTGTGGTCCATAACCAAGGTCCCTTGGAGACTGCTGATCAGAAAGAGCAGTAAAGCATTGACAGATGTAGCATGCAAAGATTTTAGCTTATGCTTCCATGACCTTCTCATAAACACCATTAAGTTGTTTTGGACAGGTGCCACACTTGCAGTATGTGCAGGAAAATTTCCTGCAAGCAAGAGAACCATTACAAGTTCTTCCTGATAGACTTGAACAATATTTCACTGGGGAGAAAGCGGGAAGAAAAGTAAGGTCATGATGAAAAAAAGAAAAGCAGCAAAGCGGAGACTGCTGTTTTTCAATTCAAACACCGTGATGCCATGACAGATCAGAAAAGGCAGAAAAACAAGATAGAGCAAATATGAAAGAGGACACTT